TGTTATTGATCTTTGCAGTATTGATGAGAAAACAGTGACATGTACATATATAAACTTGCGTTTACACATTCTGAAGCAATCCCACTAATCCGCAAACTCTTGAGTGAGAATTTGGCAAAAAAAAAAAAAAAAAAAAAATTTTTTTAAAATACATTTTTTCAAAATATGAAAAACTAGATAAATATTAGTGGTTGAGGTTCTCTAAAACGGAATGGATTTGCATATTAAGGGAGTGGGGTTGGATAATCTAGGAATTAAATAAAAACATCATCACCACCATATTATATATAACTGATCTTGGTGAAGTTTGACAATAGATATAACATTTTCTTAGCTGTTATTACTGTCTGTGTATGTAAGATGGTAATAGGAGAATTCTTTTCTCAAGCATTTATTCACCAACTTTCCTGGACCAATCTTTGTGGAATTAACTGCAAAATGATCTTTTTTTTTTATTTGAATACCTGACACTGAAAAATGCAGGGAGAATTGAATTCATGCCTTTCTCCAAGGAACTACATCAAATGGAACATTATCAGCTGAAGTTTAAAGCCAGTTTGCTGGCCCAATTTTTCCCTGGTTATATAGTTAATGATAAATGACTCCAGTAGGTGGAGTTTTATTGCCCTCGCCTTTAGCAGTGTTATATGCCCATTGTAATTCAAACAGTCTGATCGGAATTATTTTGTCTGAAGCAGTCTGTTGTTATTGATGATGACATCTCCATTTCCTCATCACTGGCTTTAATTTTGGCATTAGAACTTTTCAGATTAACATACCATACTTGTAGCTAATGACTCAAGAAGGAAATAGAGACACTGACACAGAAGAAGTGATTAGTGGGTTGGAGGTTGGATAAGCATACCACCATCAGCAGCACTATCTTGGCCTGAACATTTGAACTCCACTGACACGTAAAGTCCAAAATGACCAGCAGCTGTTCTGGTTGCAGCATCTTGCTAGATACCATATACTGGTTGGTGGCTCAGCCTTTGTATGGGTGTAGCACAGATTTGTTTTGTATTATCTCACCTAGCCTTTGCTTAAGTAAGGGCACCCACAAAGCAATAAGTCAGGAAATTTTGTGCTAGATGGTTGCTGACCTTACAGGACAGGTTTGGGTCTCTAGCCAGACTGTCATTAAGTACAACATTATCATTATTATTTTTTTTTTTTTTTACTAAGAATGAAAGGGTAAGATAACCAAAACTAAAAGGATTTTTTTTCTATTTGTCCCTTCCATATCTAAAAAAGATAATAGTTTTTGATAACTGACAATCAATAACACAATTCATCTGGGATATTTGGGATAAAAATCAATAAATCCAAATATTTGGCTGGCTGATTCTAAATAAATTAAAGTTCTACAAATTCTGAGAAATTTCCTTCCAACCAAATAGATTACTTTTTAACTTTTTTTTTTTTTTTTAAATGTCGATGTCTATTCACAGATTCTTCAGTTACTTCAAAAGTACCTGAAGATACTGGGGGTGATGCCCCCACCCCCAATGCAGAGAGTACTTTCATTAAAGTAATTTTATCCTATGCTGTCACCTTTCCTTCCACCCAGCTTCCCGCTACATACAAGGGAATAAAAAAAAAAAAAAAAACTTGCTTCGTTTCCAGCTATTTTTTTTTTAATTTGAATGCTTATATATTGAAGTTTTTTTTTTTTTTTTGATTGACAAACAACAAAAATTCTTAACACGGAAAATTTTTATATTTTAGTACATACGTACCAAAATACTTTCAAAAGTTTAATAAACACCAGTATGGTATTAAACCTGATAACGTCCTGGATTTGGCTACTAGGGCCCCCTGCAGTTGCTTATAAATGAGCCACTTACAAAAAAAAAAAAAAAAAAAAAAAAAAAAAAAAAGGTGTAATTCAAGAAACAGCAGTTGCCGAATATGTGGAAGGAAACATGCAGATAAGATCTAACTCTAACCCCTCTTATTTATGCAAGCTAAACCACTTTAACAGATACGCCTGTGCGCTCATTCTAAAAGTGCAGACCGTAACAGTTCTAATTGTACAGAGCTTTTTGTGACCCCTGCTCTGCTTGTATATTAATAAGCTGGAATATTATGCGGGGTGCAAGAAAGAGCTAAAGATATTGCAAAACAGTCGTGGATGGTAACAGCTGGGAGCTGCCATTAAGTCTTTACACTGGCAGCCTCACGTGTTAGTTCATAAGAACAGAATATGTCAAGTGCAGGGAGGCATGAAGAAGCGTTCCCTCTTTGAGTTGGCTTCACTTCCAGAGAACTTAGGCACATACAATTTACAATTGGAAAGAACACCAGAAGACTTTGTAGAGGCAGTAGAATATTAAAAAAAAAAAAAGATTTAATCGCAACAGCCAATGAACATCTAGTCTCAAGGAAGGATGTAAAAATAATCAAATTTGCTTTTCTGGGGGTTGGAGGCACTCATTTTATTCAGAATGCTGGTTAGAAAGAGAAAAGTTTAAAAAAAAAAAAAAAAAAAAAAAAAGATGAGATTTTCTTATTTTAAATCATCTTGGTGGAACAAAAGACAACATTTCCAGATTCATATCATCTGGGCTGAATGGAGGGAAAATGGTTTCTTGATTGTAAAATTCTCTGATTACCTTCCTACATTTGTATGTAGGAAGGTAATCAGAGGGTGAATCTTTGTATGAATGGTGAAGTAAATGCTTACTGGTTGCTTCATATTTGAATTTTGCAATCAAATCCACATCAGCATATTATGTGTACCTAGTTGGCCACTGGGAAAAGAGACCTGTGCATGAATGTTGCAGTAAATATATTACATTATTGAATTAACTGAATAGTACCTGTTTATATTTCTGAGATGGGGTATTGTATTTACATGGTTTGGACTGCATTGGTTGGATCCATTGACTTGACCCAAACAGTTGAGAGTTCAATATCTGGCTACTGAAGTGGTGAAGAAAAACTTGGTGAGTTGAGTTAAAGGGAGATAACTGAGATATCCAGAAGAGGCCTGGCACATGGAACTAGAACAATCTACCCCGGTGGACGAAATAAAAGGTTCAGTTTCAATCACCTGGAAAAGGCCAGAGTGTACAACAGCCAAAACGTCATGAATATAGCAATAAAGATGAGGGGGGGAAATAACTAAATAGTTTCAAGTCTTCAGAAGACAACCTCTCAATGCACTAGAAGGAGCTGGAAAAAAAAAAAAGAAGAAAAAATAGGGGGAAATGGATGAAACCAAACACACAGCTGGTCATATACACCTGCTGGAATAACGACTCAAACCTGATAGAGAAAAAAATATTTTGTTACTCTTATGTGTTGTCTAAAAGGCAAATCACATCATCTTTAAAACAAGAAATGATACAGTAGTAAACAAACTGAAAATACTTGGGGGGACGGGGGGGGGTCCCAAGTTTCTTGCTCCAAGAGGGGGTCCTTTTCTTCTTCATCTCTCCACTTCCTAAATGAAATGTATTGTCTTGTCAGAAGTCCTATTGATCAGAGGCCAAAATGAACAGGCATATTTATCTTTCCGTTCTATGCTTCATCTTGTAACACACCTAGCTTTGTGTCCCAGGGTCATAGCTATATCAGCATATTGTATAGTGAATTAGTCATGGGATTTACAATGTGTACTTATTTGGTCACAGGATTCATGACATGTAATGTTTTATTCAATGACATCATGTCAAAAAAGATGGTATAACCTCTTTGGTCAAACCATCTTCTGAATATATATTACAAGAATAAGAATGTGTGTGTGTGTATCAGTGGTGACTCGGGGGGGGGGACTTAGCCTCAAGTCAGTCAACATTCAAATATATCTTTTAAAGCACCAAAAATCTTTTGCAGTATGTCCGTTTTCATTCTTGGCTTCAGCTGGATCCCAAATCAATTGTTTTAACTCTGTGCCTCAAAACATTGACTGAAATACATTTCAATGATACTGTTCATAAGAAAGAAAGTAAAAAAAAAGAATGAAATAAAATTAACGTGGCTAGTCGGGCTATGTAGATCTGAGCCCTATCTGAGCTGGAAACATACTTAATAGGCAATTTAGGGTCATAATGGTGTTTGCGGTGATGGCTAGGTCATCTGTATAGTCAAAATCAGTCAACTTCTTTTGCAGGATATCAACTTGAAAGTCTTGGTAATGTTCTCAATATGTAGTCAAGGGTGATAAAGTGAAAAGGTGCAAGGGTGTCACCTTGAAGGACCTGTGCTTTGAAATTGAAGAAGCTAGTGCGTCTGTCTCTGTCTGGGGGATCTAACCAAACCAAAATCGTGCCCCCCAAAGGCAATCCTCTTCAATAAAGAATGTTATCCAAACTGAGAATGAGAGAAATTTTCAAAGACAAGACAGCAAGTTTTTTTTTTCTTTCAAAGGAGACAACTACATGAAAGCATTTCAGAAAACTATAGCATACAGACCAACATGGGATATTAAGAGATTATATCAGGAAAAAAATAAGTTGGGGGTTATTATCTACAAATATGAAGGCATGTTTATGATATGAGATATCATCTTCAGATCTTATTAAATAAAAACTACTCTCATGCAGATTGACTACATTTAACCTTTTCCTTTAAGTAAATAATCAAATATAGTCTATAGTTCCTGATTTTGGCCCTATCAATATGGAGGTGATCAGTATGGTTGTTTCAGCAAGGTAAAATATTACCAAAAGCACTTTTAGTCTTCAAATGAGATTAGTGAATATCAACGTGCCATGTCATACAATTAAGGATTTTAACATGGCTCCTACTACTTGGTACTATGCCAAAGTGTCTGGTGCCGAACTGACAACTTTGTACAATAAATTAGTAAAAATGGAGAAAACAGCTGGGTAAAATGTACCGATACAGTGCAAGGTGATGCACTAGTCTCTACTATTCCATCATTCACTGCACTTTTTTTTCCTTTCTTTTTTTTTCAATTTCTTTCTTTCTCCTTCCCACCTTTTTGTTTGCCCTATTATGCTTGTATAATATTTTGTTACCTTTGCTTGTACTTTGGAAGTGGGGGAGGGAGGAGAGAAAAGAAAGAAAGAGAGAGCAAGAAAAAGGATGGAGGAGTTGAGAGAGAGAGAGAGAGAGAGAGAGAGAGAGAAAAGGATGAAGTTGAGAGAGAGAGAGAGAGAAAAGGATGAAGTTGAGAGAGAGAGAGAGAGAGAGAGAGAGAAAAGGATGAAGTTGAGAGAGAGAGAGAGAGAAAAGGATGAAGCTGAGAGAGAGAGAGAGAGAGAAAAGGATGAAGTTGAGAGAGAGAGAGAGAGAAAAGGATGAAGTTGAGAGAGAGAGAGAAAAGGATGAAGTTGAGAAAGAGAGGGAGAAAAGGATGAAGTTGAGAGAGAGAGAGAGAAAAGGATGAAGTTGAGAAAGAGAGGGAGAAAAGGATGAAGTTGAGAAAGAGAGGGAGAAAAGGATGAAGTTGAGAGAGAGAGAGAGAGGGAGAAAAAGATGAAAGAGAGAGAGGGAGAAAAGGATGAAAGAGAGAGAGGGAGAAAAGGATGAAAGAGAGAGAGAGAGAGAGAGGGGGGGGAGAAAAGGATGAAAGAGAAAGAGAGAGAGAGATTGAGAAAAGGATGAAAGAGAAAGAGAGAGAGAGAGGAAGAAAAGGATGAAAGAGAGAGAGAGAGAGAGAGAGAGAGGAAGAAAAGGATGAAAGAGAGAGAGAGAGAGATTGAGAAAAGGATGAAAGAGAGAGAGTTGAGAGGAAAGCTATCAAAACAGAAGTATATACTGAGAGTAGAAATGTCTAGAGAGAAACACTTGAATTCCTGTTATGCAAGTAATCACATTGAGTGTAGAACAGGAATGGATGTTGCGGGGTGTTCATTTCTACTACACATCTAAGGTATATTTAGATCAGTGAAATGTTCTTTACAACCACCAACGAATCTGGAAGGAGACAGAATTTTATTACCTATCATATATATATATATATATATATATATATATATATATACATATATATGTATATGTGTGTGTGTGTGTGTGTTAGGGAGAGAAAGATGTAAAAAGTTCAGTTTTTTTAAGGGGGTGGGGTGTATTTATGTCACAGACTTGCTTTACAAGTAAATTTCCTTGGCAGTTTTTCAACTTCATACTTTTAAGTAATCAAATTTGTTAACTTTTAATTTTTCAATCTTGCTTAAATATCAGTGCTGTATGAAGCCAACTAAAGTGGAATTTTAACCCAAGTACAAAATCCAGTGAATTTTAAAGTACAGCTGGAACAAGCTTACTGATTAAAAAAAACATTGAAAAATCTGCAACTTCTCATCATAAAAACCGAAGAATTAAAAAAAAGGAAAAAAAAAAAAAAATATAATTTAAATCAGACGGAAAGGATGCTTTTTTTTCTGGAAACTGACAAAATGTTTAAAAAGACATGAATATAAAGATAATTTTCTGATAAAATTCAACTGAAAATTTACACATGACGCTAGAAATATTTTAAAAGCATCCTTTAAAAAAAAAAAAAAAAAAAAAAATCAGTTTGCATAAAATGCTACCAAACAGTTTAGCCACCAAATCAAACCCATGCTCACCATCACTGTGTGTGTGTGTGTGTGTGTGTGTATATATATATATATAGTAAAAACCTAACATCTCTTATCCAGCTTTTTTTTTTTTATCAAAGCCTCACCCTCCCTACTCCCTTTCCTGTTGCATATTCAGCCCTATACCCTGACACCCTCTTCCTCTGACCTTATAAAGTCATCAGATGTTTTCAACATCACTCTCTGACTGCTTGTAATCTATGGTCGACCCTACAACTAGGCTGTTGTAGGGTTGTTATTTATGAAGTGTAGTTTAGTTCTGGTACACAGCCTCACATATAGGGAGACACAGCGAGGATTGAACTCACTCCTAATAATCAACAAACCCAATTTGCTGACCATTATGCTACAATGTGGGGTTTTGGTGTTATTTATTTGTTATTTATTTTGGTGTTATTTTGGTACAGCAGACTACTTATCAAATACTCACCAGTGCCAAATAGATCGAAAGGCCATCAAGTTAACCATTCCTGACTTGCACAATACTCTTAGCGCTCTTATAAAAGGGGGAGGTCAGGATTTTTCTCCATATACAATAAATGGCGGGATGCATGTTAATAAAGGAGTAGTCGGAAAAGGGTCAAAAAGTGCAAAATTAATAAACAGGGTGGTTTTATAAAGTAGGAGCAATTGGAAAATATCCCCACCAAAAAATAAATAAGAAAGGTCTCCCCACCCCGGTCTGTTCGGCACCTCAGAGTACTTTTATAGTCTTTAGTCAAAGCATCTCTGTTATTTATCAAACACTTTTTCTTTTCTTTTTTTTGCTTTCGCTCTTACTCTTTTATTCTCTTTCTCTCGGCCAGGTCATTCTCTCATTGTTATATCACAAAACATTTTTATGCTCTGAAAGAAGGAAAGGGAGAAGAGAGAGAAGCAAAAATAAATAGATAAAAATTTGGCTTCTTGCCCAGACTCAAGGAATTCCAGAAAACAGAACACAGGAGTTGTAGTAACACTCTCAGAGTACCAGAGATGAATGCCATCTGCTCAGGTAATGTTACGAAATATCTTCAAGGAGTCAGAAATGGAGCTAAGTATTGGAATTAAAAAAAAAAAAAAAAAAAAAAAATTTTTTTTTTTTTTAATAAATTTTCTGAAAGGAAAATCTAAAAAGCCCTTGGTTAAATTTTAAAATATTTCAGTAAACTTTTTTTTTTTTTTTTGCATATCTACAATCAGATTGGAGGATCTGTTATGAATAACAGATCCTCCAATCTGATTTAAAAAATGAAGTATAAGTGTCTTTATAGTTCCCATTTACTTTAGAACTTTATTGCTGACATGCTCAGTTGATGCCATTCTCAGCATGCTTCTGTAGAACTATCTCTCAAGTCTCCTTTTTATCTGTGAGGAAATTGTCCAGTACTCACTGCCATATAGAAGGCTTGATATTACATAGCAGTCCAGCACTCTTGTTTGTTTCTAATGAAATTTTTCTTGTCTTATACTTTGCTTATTTTCAGGAGACTTTTTTTATTTTTTTTTTTTTTACTCTTTCATGCACCTTTGAATCTGTATCATACTTTCTACCCTCTGTTACTAAACTTTTTATGGTAATCCAAAGCTGGAAGAAGAAGTGGATTTATACCTTTTCTAAGTGAATACAGCAAACCCAACAGAAATTGCAACTCAGCTCTTTGATTAACAATTCTAAGCCATTATCCATTATGCCACACACACATCCAAGCTCACAGCACCTGGTATTCCCAAGCAGTCACCCATCTAGGTACTGACCAGTCTCAACATTGCTTAACTTTAGTAATTATACAAGAACTAATGTTTCAATGTGATATGGCCATAAACCTAACTTGTAAAAGGTTGATAAGTCATAAAAAAACTAAAGACGTAACTGATGAAAGTGATGGAACCAACAACTCAAAGGATAGTTTACAAGCCATATACTTAATAAAAGGAAAAATAAATCTTTCTGGCATTAAAAAAACTGACAGAGTGAATAAGCCATAAAAACAAGTGAATCAATCACTCAAATATCACCAAGTTATTTAAATATTCAATTGCTTTTGAGCCAAAAAACTTAATTGATCAAATCCAATTAAACTAATTTCAGAGACATTAGTAATTATTTCTAATTTGAATATTAACACTAATTATTAATGAATAGTAACAACTAATTAATAGTAATAATCCCTGGCTTTAGTACAAATAATTGCAACTACAAATTATTTTTAACAATTCTAATATTACTAATTAACTATTACTTTATACTTCTAACGACTTTGCTTCAACTCTGAAATTTTATTTACTATTTATATATTTTCATCAATAAGAGTAGATAGGTTTGCCTATCATCCGGTTCACACTCCTCCTTGGTCTTTGTAAGAGGAGTAGAGGTTTATCCCTTGTTTCTAGTTAACAATTGGGTTCCTTTGAGCCTTTTCATTCTTTCTTGTTCATTACCAGTAGCCCCTTTGCATCTTGGTGACATTATCGCCTTGCTCACGGTGAATTAATTGATAAAAAAATAAAAAAATAAATAAATAAATAAATATATATATATATTAATTTCTAGTAAGCTTATCTTTCATTATTGCTTTTTATTTGAATAAAAAGTTACTTTTACATTCTAGGACTGTTACAAAAGTAGCATGATGTAGAAATGAAGTAGCCCCTGACAAGATTTGAACCCACAATCTAAATTTATGGCCAAATCTATTAGGTTAAGTCATAAATAATTTACATTTTTGTTGATCAACATTCTGCTTAGTTCTAAAGAGAGTGTGTGGAACGCAAGCATCCAGCATGCTTACTGGCTTTCTTTATCTTTTCTAAGTATTGGTTTATGGTAGATTCTGATGTGTTTAACATCTTTTGCTAATCCCCAAGTACTTTGTCGTGGATTGCTGTCCACTAATAACTTTAGAGTTTCATCATCAAAGTCTGAGGAACACCTTGGGCTGGGTTCATATTCCAACAATGTCTCATCAGAATTAATCTTTACAAACTAATTTCCAACTAGCCGACTCCTTAACCATAAACATTACATATTTTTCTCATTTGAACATTCATAATATTAAGTGACATAAATGCACTTTCAATCCCTCCATTAATGGAGTTAAGAAATTTATTCTTTAATCCACTGTGTAGGCTGCTACAGCCATGCAAAATCTAAAGCATGTTAGTGTATTCCAAATTTATTCTTAACCATCACATATGATTAGTAATTAGGATGACTAGTTCCCATAAACAGAAATTACTTATGACTATCTATCTATTCCATTCTGTTCATATCTGTCTATTATATATTAGTGTACTCCATTTAATTGCCACGTACAATTAGTAGATAGGAATATACATTTATCATTACTTTGGTTGCCAAAGCTGGGAGTTACTTATGCATTATACAAGGCAAATAATTTTTAGAGATAGAGAATGAGAGTTCAATCCTTGTCAAGGAGTACTTTATTTCCAACTAGTCAAAAATGAATAATAATAATGAACAGACTGAATTCAAAGATTTATGACAATTACTATGAGACATTTTCTTTTCCCCATCTTTCTCAACATTATCAGCAATGAATAGCAGTTTTTTAAAAGATAGCGATATACAGCAAACAAGAACAATCAGATGATTTAATTAACAGCCTCAAATGTTTCTTGATACTGGTGTGAGGGCGGGCAAGGTGGTTGAGCAAGGCATCCACCCAACCATCAAACCCTGAATTGAACAAGTGGTAGAAGCTGAACAGACACGCCAAGACTGCATTAGTCACTGGAAATGGCATACAGGCTGTTGCTACTATGAATGCGCAAGGAGAATGGTGTGTGTGTGTGTGTGTGTGGGTGGGAGTGTGGGTAGGGGGGGGAATGCAGCAGTAGAGGCAACTTTAAGCCATCCCTACCTCTCTACTGCCCTACCCTCGGCTGATCTCCAGTCTCAGCCAATTTTGTACTGCTGTGCGGTCGTTCTTCGACTGCACAACATTCTCTTCCCTCCCTCAACTCCTGAATGGTCCAGGAGCCAAGAAAGAAGCAGTATTATTTTTATTATTATTCTTCATTTTCTTTTTTTTTTTTTTTTAGAGGAAGGAGGAGGTGCAGTTGGTGTTGGTGGACTGCTGTGGTCAGGCTAGACAGTTGTTGATGGAAAGGAGATGGTAGGTGAAGGACGCGTAATGAGTACAAACTAAGTAG